TACAGACCAGCAGGTAACCGCGCCGTGGCTAATGACGGTGAAGGTGGTCCGTTTGTTTCCGCTCTCGGTTCAATTGCATCACCGGTTGAGAACTTTCTCGCTAATAACTGTGTTTGCTGTAGCGGGGACCACCATGTTTCTTCCGCAGTTCACTCTGCCGCTCACTCCCGTTCGCACTCTCCGACTGATTTCGACACCTCCTACAACGAGGACCTTCGTGCTCAGCTTAAGGTCCGTGGGCTTCTCCCGCCTCATGTCGAGAGCTATGAGCTCCAGAAAGCTCGATGTAAGTTGTTTCTCATTTCTATCCCACTCGTAATGCCTTATAGCCATCGGGATGCAAATTGCTTTTTCTGGAGCTCGCATTTTCGAAGCCCTTTTTTTTTTTGTCTTGTGATACCCATCATGTGAAGAACCCTGTATGTTATTTTTTACCGGGGGTTCGAATTTCAGCCCCAATGCGACGTTTCACCCTTGCTTTGATGCTGTATCTCCAACTCCCGCCACCCATGTTACCGAACGAACCGAGCGTTGCATGATTACGTTATGTTTGCTGACTGTAGTCTGCTTGTTAGGCCTGGAACAAATCGCTCAAAAGTCAAATCCTATCGACAAGTACATGTATTTGTCCAACTTGCGCAATACCAATGTAAATCTTTTCTATCGCTTATTGATGGATAACATGAAGGTTGGTGTTTTCTTTTTCCTTTTGCTCTTTATTTTTTTTGTGTAGGACTGCCCCGGAAAGGATAATCCGCTTTTTTGAGCCCCGGATTGCCGGGAATGCTGTTGCGTAGGGCGGCTGCATTTGCCAATTTTCCCGGAAAAGACACTAATGCTGATAATTCATTCGGAGAATTCAGGAAATAACTCCTCTTGTGTACACTCCGGTAGTTGGCGAAGCATGTGTTAAATGGTCGCATATTTACACCCAGCCCGAAGGTTAGTTACAGTCTTGGCTTCCCCATATTTTTTTCCCCCCCGTCCTCCGATTTCGCCCGCTAGCTTGCCGCGCTAGTTCCTGCATGCTTGGGCTGCCGGTGAGCTCGGTCTGGGGTTGCTGCTGGGGAGTTTCTTGGCTTTTTTCTAACACTTTGCAGGGCTATATTTGTCGTATGCCGACCGCGGTAACCTCCGTGGAATCCTTGACAACTGGACTGCAGACAAAGTTGACATTGCTGTTGTCACTGATGGCTCACGAATTTTGGGGCTTGGCGACCTCGGAGTCAACGGGATGGGTATTCCCGTAGGAAAGCTTGCGCTTTATGTTGGGTGCGCTGGTATCCAGCCCGACCGCACTCTTCCCATCACCATCGACGTTGGAACCGAGAATGCCGCTAATCTCAAGGATCCATTATATTTGGGTGCTAAGATGCATCGTGTTAGCGAGGCTGAGCAGTTGGAGTTTCTTGATGAGATGATGATTGCTCTTAATGATAAATGGCCCGGGTATGTTTCTCATTGTTTCCTGCTTGTGAATTGAATCAGACTAACATTCTCTTAGCCTCGTCGTCCAATTTGAGGACTTCAAAAATCCTTTCCCATCTCTAGAGCGATATCGCAATACATACACTTGCTTCAATGACGACATCCAGGGAACTGGTGCCGTCGTACTTGGGGGTACCATCAATGCCCTCAAGAACACCGACATCCCCTTCAAAGACCAGAAGTTGGTTTTCTTCGGTGCTGGTTCCGCCGCTGTTGGTGTTGCCAAGCAGATTTGCGAGCTCTTTATCCAGAGCGGTATTCCAGAATCTGATGCTAGAAAGATGTTCTGGCTCGTGGATTCAAAGGTATTTTGTGCCCCGTGTCGTAAATGGAACAAACACTAATTCGGGTTCATTAGGGAATGGTGACAAATGACCGTGGTGATACTTTACAAGAGCACAAAGTATATTTCTCTCGAGATGATAACAATGGCCAACAATTCAAGTCGCTTGAGGAAGTTGTGGATTATGTCAAACCAACTGCTCTCATGGGACTCTCTACTATCGGTGGAGCGTTCACAGAGTCGATAATCCGCAAGATGGCAAGCTATAACGAGAAGCCAATCATCTTCCCTCTCTCGAATCCTTCCAGCAAGTCGGAGTGCACCTATGAACAGGCAATGCAATGGACCAACAACAAGGTCATCTTTGCCTCTGGATCGCCCTTCCCAGAATTTGAAGCTGATGGCAGGGTACATACTCCCGGCCAAGGTAAGGAGAATTCACAGCTCGAAATTCACAAGTTTGGTTGCTTACAAGTTTACAGGAAACAACATGTATGTCTTCCCCGGCATCGGACTTGGCACTGTCTTGTGTGAGGCCGTGCATGTCACCCAGGAGATGGTCTACGCATCTGCTGTCGGTTTGGCCGATTCTCTCACGGATGAGGAGCGTGAGAAAGGTTGGCTCTACCCCAACCTGGACCGAATTAGGTCGATCTCTGTTATCGTCGCTCGTTCCGTCATTCGTGCTGCTCAAAAGGAGAACCTCGACAAGAACAAAACCTTGCAGTGGCTCAGCGACGTGGAACTCGACAACTACATCCGCTCCAAGATGTACAACCCCGCCGGCGATCACTCCGGAGCGTCAAGCCCCACTGTGGAGGTCAATGGCAACGCAGCTAAACTTTCAAATTTGTAAACTGGCATTTGTTCGGGTGAGGTGGATTGCGTGATTAGTGTTAGATTTTTCTCATCTTTCCAGTTGTGGTTATTCCCATCTGCCTTGCTTTCTCGGGTGTTTGGTAATTTCTGCGATGTCTTCATCCTCCATTTAACACTGGGGGTTTGGGTCTAATGTTTTCATTAATCTTGTAACACATTTTTTTCTTTCTCATTTTTTATTTCTCGGGTTGGGTTGAAACGGAAAAAGAACATGCTTTTTTATCTCTGGACTGGTTAGGGCTTTTTTCTTTCTTTTTTTACCCCTCGGCATTAGTATCATACTGCACATGGCGATTGGATCGATACAGTATAAATTTGCTTTGGGGTAGGCATTACTACATTACGAAGCGAATAAATGATTGTGGGGGTATTCTTTTGTGCCGGGGAGTTGAGTGAATGAGTGAATGCCCGGGGGGGGGTGCACGGTTGTGTTGTCGGTCCAACCCCGACTGGCGTAGCAAAATTGTTGGATTGGTGTTGCCGTTGCATTGTGGGGGCGGAAGTCCTAGTGCTGTCTGGGATCGCTTATCGGGGTGATGGTCCGGCGGGGGGTGCCAGGGCGCTTGGATGGGGGACTTGATAAGGTGATGGATGTGCGAGTGAGTTGTTATGATGGCGGGGAATTTCTGGGCGCCTTATCCGGTTCTTTCCTATTGCGCTGTAATATCTTACAAGTGCCGAGAGTCAGACCTTGCTATCATCGCGGGGACTTTTTGTGCCTCATGAGTGTCGTGATTATCGTGATTATCGTGATTTCTTGGCCACAAACGGCCGCTACCGCTATACAAGTAGGACTACCTGTGCTTCTTGTGGGCCCGACCGACCACAGTTAACTAAAGCCCACCTGGGCCAGTCGCGCTTTGGCCGCAAATTTGAAAATTCGGAACATAGGCTAAGGGTAATCAGACCTGCTTGGTGTCTACAGTACCAGGCACCAATAGCTCCTCCACAAGATATAAAGTGAACCCACAAGAGGAGCAGAACACGTTTTCTGATTTTTTCTTTTCTTTCGAAAAGTAGCATGTAGCCATTAAAAAATTTCCCAATCTACAGACTTGGAATATGATACCACTCGTCACTTTGGCCGATCCAATTCCTCGCAGTCCCGGATCCTGGCATCTCTATACCCCGGTATGAGAATCCACAAGGGACTTGGTTCCGAAGGCATGTACTACGGTGCTACATTTTTCCGGACCCCGCGGGCGCCGCGCCGTTCAACCAACTATGCGAGTGATTTTTACCGCGCTAAACCAGGCCCTTTGGTCTATTGACCACCCCTTGCGCAAGGCTGGAAACGGCCCTTACTAAACCCACCATCGCCCGAAGTGCCCCCCCCCGGTCGAACCACCGTACTGTACAGTATAATATGTATATACGGTGTACCGGCCGTCCGGAGCCGGTACTGAGGAAATCTTCGGTTCGCGATCGATACCCGTGTGCTGTATTGCATGGTCTATCTAATATATGGGATGCACGGGGGTGGGGTGGGGCGGGGAGGGACGGAGGAGTGCATTATGTACTGTACATACCGTACAAGTGCCCGGGTATTTAAACGTGTTAGTAGGGATTGCGTTGCGACTGATGAGGAAAGAATGGGTAACTATCTCGTTCGTGTCGTACTTTCGTGTCTGGCGGGGTGGGTATAATATCCACCGCGCACAAGCTTTATGAACGGGCGCTTTGCTTTAAAAAATTTACGATTTTGCGCGGTTAGAGAGGTGGCGGGGTCACAATGGGAGCGGGACGGCTTAAAATATTGAGTTCTGGGATGTGGGAGTATGGTGCAGTAGATTCCTGGTGGTAAAGGAGATTGCGGGTTGGAGTGTGTAGGGCTCGAAGGGGTATCTATCGGTGGTGTGTGTGTGATGGTAGGCATCCGGGAGTGTTTTTCTGGTGCGTTTGTGTCGGATGGGATGGTTGGGTGTGTCTTTTTGGAGTAAGGTATAATAATAGAGGATATTGGTCCAGATTTTCAAGCTGTGGTGGTGAGTGTGGGGGTGGTTGGCGGAGGTGAGGATTTGCTTCGATGGTCTTATCGCAGCGTATATGGGGGGGTTGTGTGCGGGGGATGCTAAACTGAGGAAGGGTGAGGTTGGATCTGGGATATCGCTGATCCTCGCAAAGGGTATTCATGTCAAGAGCAATGATATCATACACTCGAGACGTGAATCTATAAATACGGTCTCAGTCACTACTAACAATTCGCATTCAAAGTTCCCTGTTGTGTGTGTGGCGGTTAGATTACAAGGGATCGACGGTGACAGTGTGGTTTGATGGCAAATGGCTACCCTCGGAAGTCGTTTCATTCGTGTTTGTATTAGAGTCTGCATGGCATTCCGGAATTGCAAGTCCTGTCATATGGATCGGGGGTGGAGGATAAAAATGGGTTGAGAAAGGGTTTGCCGCCGATCCCCGACCACTTCCCACAGGGTCCGGGTCTAGAGTCGGATTCTATGATACCATCACAATCTCCCAGTTCCGGTACGGTATCATAGGAGTTTTTAAGGCCCCTGCCCTACGTGATCGATCGTTTAATAAATATGATACTCATTTCTGAGTAGGAATTGAACTCCTGGACTCCCGCTAAGTGCGCTGGCTAGGTATTTCATAATTATTCCCATGGGACCAAATATTCTTATCCTGCGGGTGAGCTGATTTACCGTTATTCTTTTCTCACCGTGGTCAATGGAAGGAACTATTTTGTGTGATATCACCAGATATTCAATCCATCGTAATAGGTAAATACATAAATGGGCTACTATTGATAAAGTGGTGACATGGGTGAAGATAGATGGACTACTTGAAGGAACCTTGCTGGTCAAATTTGTCTGGATAAGAACTAATTGAAGGCGATGGCTGATTGCTGAATTTTGGCACGGGGAGGGGATTACTTCTGCCTAGTTAATCGTGTTATATATAGTCGGCACTGTTTTTGGAATCAATGTATCTTTTTCGGTTCTTTTTGCTCTCAGCGCTCCCCTCTGCGGTGACTATTCTTCGGAGCTGGAAGGTCGCTTGTACCAACATTTGTGTAACCAACAAGTATATCAACGACGAACCTCGGGAAAGCTAGCGTTTGGGAGAATACATAAGATGAGTGAATCTCTTGTGGGAAGTTATGGGTGTTGATTCTCCTAATGGTTTCTGTACTGGCTGCCATGTTTTAGTATCACTGCTACAGGTACATGATCGTTGGAAGAACGTTTGACAGGAATTTGTGTTGACGGGGCGCTCCGGCTGTGTGGCACGCAAAAGCATCAATAAACCAAACCTAGTTGGTGGTGATGGACACGACCGTGCTCGAGCAGGTCGTGGGGTTATGCTCGGGCAATGATCTGAACAAGAGGACCCAATACTCGAATGCTCGAGAAAATTCGTAGACCGTGATCGAGTGCTCGGGAATGGCCGCTTCTCAATTATGCTCAAGTCGGGTTGATGGTTAGTTTTTCTGCGCCTAATTAATTCCTTTCGTATGTCAAAATGTGATAGGATATTTAAGCAGCTTTGTTCGATTCGATTTCTGACTACTTGCGCTTTGTATAATAAAGTTACCTTTTCGAAACACAATTACTCCGGGACCTGTGAGCCGGACCCATTGGCGCTATCCTGTTTGCTTGAAGTGTCGGATACCGTTTACTTTTGGTGTAGGTGCTGCTCGACATTCATGAATTCTCAGGATGTTGTTTCCTTAATCGTATGGAGGTTTTGGCGGATGGGTTCTGGATTAACGCATATTGAAAATCACCGGCGCTCGATTATCTCATACAGCGGCATATCCGAGAAGCTTAGAGAACCGGCGGCACAGATCCGGAAGTCGTTATCACTCTCATGATGGGTATGGAATGATTGGTCAGTCAATCAGAGAGGATAGTAGTAACATGGGGAAGAGAGAAGATGGAGAAGACATAAGAGAGGGGAACAGAAGCAGAGAGGCTAGTGAAGAAGAGGTGAAGAGAGAATGGGGATGAACACAGTTGCCAAAGGGAAAGCGGTGATGAGAAAGGAAGAAGGAATGTGAGAGTTTGCTTATCCATGTATAAGAGAATGCCTATTTGCCCACAGTCAAGGAGTGACGATGAATTGAGAATAAGACATCCTCCTCCTGCGCAAGAGCTTCTAGTGGGTGCAAAACGATCCACCAACAATCTTGTTTTTGAAAATGACCCCATGGAAGGAAAAGATGTATCAGTCGGAAGTAGTATTGGAGAGTGAAAGGGGTTGTGCGGAACGGCAGCTATGAGTAGTTGGAGTTTTTATGATGCCTATCTTTTCTTAGGATAGGAGTATGTAGAGGAAAGGGAGACTTGCGTGGGCGAGAATGGATATGTGTGGTTATCGAAGGGAAGATGGGATGATGCGTTTGTTGCGATTCATATATACTGCTATCTTTGCCGTTTAGTTGGGCTATTTGGCGTGACGTAGTCGGGATTTAAAACAATGGTTATAAGCGGCTCTTAAGTAGAATGGCGGTGAGAGAAATACCTGACCGGAATTCTTGGGCAGAAGTAGCACGGGTGGGAAAGAGGGAAGAGCTGTTGGTGGCCTGACACTGTGAAGCATGTTTTTATCCTCGAGTTATCACTGGTCTTTTAGAAGTGTGTAGTACTACTCTTTCATTCGCTGGTACTGTTACTTATTAAATCACCAGGGTTTAAAGATTGAAACGAACATCCCTTGCCTACAGTGCAGCAATATTAAACGTTGGTATAATAGAGAGGTCTAGTGGAAGATGTATGAATCGAGGAAAGAAAAAAAGGGGAAAAATACGGAGAAAACTAGTCAGTAAATTCCAAAAGGACGGGGGAAAATGTAGGAAACCGAAAAGGTCGAGTCTTGGCTAATTCTATACAAATATCATACTTGCTAAGGTAGCCACAAAGAGCGCATGCCAGGAGTGAATAAAAACCGGGAATGACACTGAAAATGCTTGGTTTCCAAGGAAGCATTTCACATCAGATAGTACAAGCCGGGTCCGGGGGGGGGCACATCCCGCACCTCCATACGAGTGACGTTTCAAATTGCACTAGAAGAGATAAGGCGGGAACCTGAGCTGCCGAAACGACTAGGGTTAGGGGAGGAGGAGGCTAAGAGGGATTTTTCCTTTTCGGGATGAGATGAGTCGAAGGTTCGTCCTCGAAAGCCTGGGAAAAGAGTCGCCGTGGCAGTTGTGTTGATGGCTCGGGGGATCTGGTTGCCGTGACGGCTTGTGGAACAGGATATG